ATTCACCCCGACTTATTTGGAACGAAACTCATGTCTAGAGCTTATGTTATGCAAATGCACGTGATGTGTGTGAGGAGGAGCGTACCTACCTTTGACTCAAAAATAGAAAAGAAAAAAAAATCGACAAAAACTTGGACAGAGCTGAAAGCAAAAATTAAAATGTTAGTATGACAATTAAAAATTAAACAATTAAAAACTTCAATAAAAGGATCATGGGTTAACTAAAGACTCAAACTCATAATTTTCACCAAACGACAATGTATAAGCGACTTGCAACCTGACTCTCTAAAAAAATAATCCCCAGCAAAGTCGTCAAGTTGTCATAACTATTATTTTTTGAAAAATAATTAAATATTATTTTAAAAACGATTATGACTTTAATTTTGGAAATTTTGGTAATTTTGGATTGATTTGAATTAAATATGATAATAGTCGCCATCGACCTTTGGGTTAGGTATGTTGAATACTTAAAAACATCTTTTAAAAACAATTTTAAGAAAAATCATTTTTTAAGACAAAAATGGTATGCGTTTACAAAGATTCAATCAAAACGGGTTCGGGAGTCGGTTACGTGTGGGGAATGATTAGCACCCCCACAACACCCAAAATTGGTACTGTGTCGCTTACACATTGTCGTAAATGGTGGAAATCATTAATCGAATATAAAGTTAAAATATGATCTGTTTATTGAATATTGATTAATTTCCTTCGAATTAATTATTTAAAGAAAATCCTTTTACATGATAAGAAATCTTAAAATTCGCAATCCTCCGTCGGGAAAGCTATTTCAACTATTTCTTATTTGTAGAAGAATATTATGTCTTCATTGATTAAAATAATGTGAATCGAATCATTTGCATAAAATAAAAAAATTGATGTTTTGAAACCTACATTGCACCATTTGAATAGAAACATATTAATTACTAAAATAAACAAAATTTTATTTCAAGTTCTCATGTCGTTAAAATGTCGTATCAGGTCGCACCACTTCGACCAAGTGATGCTTTACACGCTCATTCTATGCATCCGTGTTCTTGAAATATTTGAATAATACTAGTATTTAAGGAAATATAATAGAAACAAATGTGATGAGAAATGTAAAATAAAATATTTACAACATAAAATAATAACATTTATTTAATGTTATACCTAAAAATGTACATGTTAAATATATACATTTATAAGGGATTAAAATAGAACAATAAAAAAATTTAAAGGACCAAAATAAGATTAACAGAAACTTGAGGACTAAAATAGTAAAAAAGAAACTTAAAGGATTAAAATAAAAAAATAGAAACTTAAAGGACTAAAATAGAAAAAATAGAAACTTAAAGGACTAAAATATAAAAAAAATAGAAACTTAAAGGACTAAAATAGAAAAACATAAACTTAAAGGACTAAAATAGAACAAACATAAACTTAAAGGAATAAAATAGAAAAAATAGAAATTAAGGTACTAAAATAGCAAAAATAAAAACTTAAAGTACTAAAATAATAAAAATAGAAACTTAAAGGGCTAAATAGTACAAACATAAACTTAAAGGACTAAAATAACAAAAATAAAAACTTAAAGGATTAAAACAGTAATTACAGATAATCCAGAGCCTAGATAGCAAACATTAAAAAAATAGGTACTAGAAACAAAAATAAACCATAAATATAATTAAGGATTAAACTAAAATAAACCAGAAATATGGAGGACTAAATAATAATTAAACCTATACATTCATACCAAGTCAGTGACCAAAACAAAATATGTTCAAATCTGAGGGCCAAATTCGAACATCATCCAAAATACAAAACACACAAAACCATTGACTAAAATGAAATAATTATAAACATTGTGACCAAATTCGAAAATTAACAAACATAACATACTATACAATAACAGGACTAAATTGCAACATACACGAAACAAAAGATCGAATTAAAAAGAAAATAACATTGTATTAATGACTAAAATAGAATGTTACAAGATACAGAGGACCTTTACGGTGAATAATCCAGGCGCGAAAATGCTCCATAGGTCCTTCTAAAATGTTGTCGTTTCGATCCACATATAAATGCTTGAAAACACGCCTAAAATACACCCAACCCCTCATTTGTTTCTCTTCCTCGCACGTGAAAGAGAGAGAAAAAGATAGAGATCCCGAGAGCTCTCCACCGAAGCTCAAGAGCTCCCAGCTTTCGGCGAGCCTCCGCCAAGCCGACCACCATTGACCGGCGACGACCGTCGTTCACTGACGTCGGAGATGAGAGAAAAGGACGCCGTTCCCCAAACGTTGCTGATATACGAAGAAACCAAAGGGTTTCTTCGGCTCCGACGACTGTACGAGGGGAGAATCACCCAAAGGTAATATATTTTCCTCATTTTCTCTCCTATTTCGTTCTATTTCTCTCTATCTTTCCCCTTTTGTTTTTTTCACTCTCTGCTCTCTCTCATTTCTATTTCTTTCTTCTTTATTTTTTTTCCTTTTTTTTCTCTGGCTTTTCCTGAATCCCCCTCAATGCTTCTGATATCTCTTCTTTCTTCTTTTATTTGCATGTGATTGTCTGTTATTGAGGTTGCCTGAGGATGATGTTATTATGAGATAGGGTTATGATAGAACATAATCTACCTTGGGATAGCATTGATACTTGCTTATTATTTTTTATTGGGTTGTTTATGTTTTTTCTCTGACTGATGGTGGATAGCTGTCACTGTGTGCAGGCGCCTGACTGAGACAACCCTGGTAGGAGCGACAACGGCGGTGACAGAAGCTACCTAGGGTTATGATGAAACCCTAGGTGAGTCAGGTCGGGTTGTTGGGCCGGTTCGGGTCGGTCGGGCCTCGGGTTTGCTCTGTTGTGTCAATGGTTGTAATTTGGGCTGCAACTGGGTTTGATCTTGAACTGGGCTGCTTGTGAGTTGGGTCGGATCTGAGTTAATTTGTCTGGGATGCTTTGGCCTCCTGGGTTGCTGGGTTGATGGGTTTTTGGTATTAAACCTGCAAAAATGTAATATGTATTAATAATAATAGTAGTAGTAGTAATAATAATAATATAATAATAATATAATATTTTTGTAGATCTGAATAAAAATGGGTGTCTACAACTCTTTTTTAAATCATATTTTGAATTTATTAATTAGATTTATTTATATTTTAATTATTTATTGAACCGTGCGATTCATGATTGTATTCATTAATAAAATTATTTTAAATCCTTTTGCATTACTTTTATTATTATGGTTTTTGCAAATAATATGATTAATAATTGATGAATAAAATATCTAAAAAGATATATATTATATCCATCATTTTTGTACATGCATGATACATAAAAGACATAAGAATTCTATTTAAGATAAATATCAAAATTGTAATAATTAAACTATATATAAATGTTATGATCTCATCGTAAATATTATTAAACATATTTCAGTTAATAGATCTATTAGATAGTCTAGTTTAGACATTTAGCTTATTAGGAGCATAGGCGGACCTTCGTGGGGCCAATATGAGCCTTAGCCCTGTCAATTATTTTTAAGTATTAATTAATATTTAAAAAATATAAAAAAATAAAATTATCAAGTCCACTCAATTAAAAAATATTTATAGAAAATAAAAATATTTTAACCATCGCTTTAATAAATTCTGAGTTTCACTCTTGATTAGGAGAAAACATGACTCGTTATTATTAAGATAAGTGAGTGCGTTCATAAAATATTTCCTAGTCTTATAGAATACTTTAATAAAATAATTAGTAATACAATAAATTAAATACTTAATATTTAATGTTAAAAGACTCGTAAAAATTGAACCTATCAAGTGATCTCGGTAGTAAAATGGAGTATTATTTTCTTAAAATCTTAAATTCGAGTAGCTACATCAGTAGAATGTATGTATTATCGATGATTAAGAAAGATTTTGAACAAATATTGTCTCATAATCACATGAGATTACTAAAAATTTTCATAAAAGTTTATAATACAAAATTATTCAGCGATCCTACTAACATTGGACCCAGCGTCCAGGTGGTTTGGCCAATAAATGGTTGACTGATATTCAAAAGTTTAATAAATGTCAAAGCGGAACCTAGGACGAGCAGTAAATCTGGAAAGACAATAATAATGGATGAACTATAAATTTCAGGATAATCTTAGGTTTCAAAATCAACTTCAATTTCTCATGTAAACTAAAAATGTTTAGACCTTAAAAAAAGAGTAGATAAGATATAAATCGGGTATTAGAGAAATAAAAAACCTAAATATCGATTAATTATTATTTAATTATCGACGCGACTCTCCATTTAAATTAGAAGGGTGGACTACCTATGATCACCCCAACTATTTTGTTATCTATCAATTTCTTTTTCTAATTAATCTAGGGCGATTTCAAGTGATAGTATATGCTTAAATATCATGCAATCGTTGGTGTTCGAACTAATTACCTCTAGAGATAACAATTATCCATTTAACCACTGAGATCGCTTGGTTCATGCAATCTTTATCAATTTTTAAAAGAGTATATTGATCTCTTTTGAAAAAAATGAGAGTAACTTGTCCAATATAGATTTTGAAAGTGAATAAACAAGAACGATCTACGACAATGTTGATCCTTTCCACCAGTACATGACATGTGTCCAACTGTCATTGAATGATTTTTTAAATAAAAATAAAAATAAAACTTTTATATAATTTTATAATATATATTTTCTCATAATTTTGAATTCTTTTAAACTTTTTAACAAATTTTAAATATTTTTATGATTTTTGTATTATATTTTTCAATTAAACTCCAACTATCACTGAACTTTTAATCAAGGCTTCCGATTCGGATCAACCCCATATAGACCCTATAGGTGGTTTTGACATGATAATGGGCTCTGTAGATGAATACATGCCCATTGAATAAAAGACACTTGCGGTCAAGTAAAGCACATTTATCAAATTCAACATATTATAAATATTTGGAAACTTTTATACAAAGCAACGTTTATTCTTGACACTCGCAGTAAATTAAAGCACATATATCATTCTTAATTTATGCCCTTAGAGCTTCAATTTTGTATCAGATCCAACTGAAGCTAATAGTAGGTGCTTGCTTTGCTATCAAGTGAGCTTTCTCTTCCAGCTTTCGAAGTCTCAAAGGAAGTTCACAAACATAATCTTGTGCTTTTCGTCCATCACCCGAAAGTCCGGTCAGTTCCTTCACCTTCCATCGATCGACCAAGAACTCCAGAACATCGGTGTAGTCTTTGGTAGTGTAAACCCCAAGTCTTTGTGCAACGGTCGAGAAGTGGTCGAAAAGGTTTTCGTCTCGGCCGTCGTACATCAAGTGAGCAGGCATGGTGATTCTCTTCCTCATCATTGAAGCAAAGGCTTGGACAGTTTCGTCAGGATCGATCTTGAACAGCTTTTCGATGATTTTGGTGTAGGCTGCCTCGTGTCGCTTCTCGTCGGCGGCGATGAAACCACATACTTTAGCCAACTCGGTGTCCCCGTACTCTCCGGCGAGTTTGGCTGTGTTCTTATGGGAAATGAAAGTTGCCCTTTCTTGGAATGATGTGTAGATGAATGTAAGATATGGGTTGTTCTCCATCTTCCAATCCTATAAATATTCACAAGAAAAACAAAATTTGTAGGCATAATGTAAAAAAATGGCATAATGTCATAATTAATCTCCAATATTTATTGAAATAGTCATTTTGATCTTTTTTTTAGTATTTTAGCTTCTAATATTTCATTTTAAGGTAAAAAAATTCATAATGTTTGACTGAATAATTATCTCGGCCCTTATTATATTTTCTAGAGCATTTTGATCATATTGTTTCATTTGAGTAAAAAAACTCCTATTGTGATAAATAAAAAAATACATTAATATTTGATTAAATATCACTTTGATCTATATTTTTTAAGAACATTTTGACTCCTTATTTTAAGATAAAAATGCCCCCTAATATTGGACTAATAGCCACTTTGACTCATATTTTTTTTTTTTTAGTATTTTGACCCCAACGTCTCATTCTAAGACGAAAGATCTCATATTTTAGAGTATTAATCATTTGTTGACTAATAATTTCTAAGTGCAAAGGACTTGTAATACTCTAAAGAGAATATGAATTAAAGTGATTATATAGTCAAATATTAGAGATATATTTTAACATTATATCTAGTTTTTATCATAACCCTACTCACGAGAACCCTACTCACCATTCCTGCACCAATCAAATATTGAATCGTCTTCTCGATTTGCCTCATGTCAACTCGTCCAGACAAGTAAAGATACTTATTAAGAAGATCACCATGCCTGTTTTCTTCAGCCGTCCATGCCCTATTCCAAATGGCCCAAGAACTGAGGCTTGCACCTGTTTCATCTTTAATTCCATCAGTTATATTAAGTATGGTTTGATACGTTGGAAGGGCTTCCTCCGTGATCATATCACCAACCAAAACCACGAAATAATCATCTGGAATCCCTTTTGCCCTTTCCTGCAACTCTTTCACCTGCTCAAAAAAGCCATCAGACTTCGAATCTGGAAGAAAATCTTGGGGTTGCCAGCTCTTCTCAGGTGATTTCAGGTGAATTAGAATGTTGTCTGCAACCCACTTATCCAAGGATTTGAAGATCTCCATCTTTTGTGGCGGCATTGAATGTTTAACTTGAACTTGCTGATCTTGATGGGGCATGAGAGTGGTTTTCAAGTTTTCAACTTTCCTGGATTCAAATAAACTTCTTGTCACATATATATATATTTTAACATATTCATCAATATCTGATTTATTAATCGATTAATCTAGATCGAGTACTATAGAGACAATGACGACCCTCTTAATCCAGTTTGCTCCATTCGCAAACATTAAAATTCAAACTCCTAACCTTATGTAAGAGATCTAGTATCTCATCTCACTAGACCAACTTATTATTGATTCTTGTCTCTTATTTATATATATATATATATATATACTAGTTGCAAATGTCAATTTACTTTGAATGGAATATTGTAACATATAATTGAATGTATAAAGAGGCGTAATTTGTTACCATCGTGTTGGGTAGTTACTCAAATGATTATTTAATTATAAGATTGGTGTCGAAATGATAATGATACTTTTAATTTAGTAATATTATGACCACATAACTATTTAAGTGGTTCCACTGTAGCTACCAGTCGTTACAAAACAAATGATGTAGCTTATGTGGTTGTTATTGACTAACGACGAGTTAGAGGCCCACATCAGCTAACGATAGGGGTTACATTGAAAACACTTAAATAGTTATGTGGTCATAATGTTAAAATTAAAAGTATGGTGGTCATATTGATACCAATACCAATTTCATAGATAAATGATAATGTAAGCAATTTATACTATATGTATATTTATGTTATATATCATTTGTTACCATATACTTTAGTATTATTGTATTATTGTATCATTTTTTATTATTTATATCTGTTTTACTGTTTATATTTAAATATTTATGGTTATCTTTCAAAATGTTAATATCACAATATTATTTATTATTATGCTATGACGTGTTTATCATTTTGTTATTAATTGGTTACAAAATGTTTTAATTACTACTAGGTTTATTACTTTATACTAATTTAAAATTATTAAATTTATCAATATTTTAGTAAACATTTATCATATTCAAATTTATTAACAAGTTATCAAACATTTACTAGGTATCTAACTTTTGTACTACTAATTTATTTTTTAAAAACCAACCTATAAAATTATATAACTTGAAAATTAACTATAGATTAACATATTTATAGTTCAACCAAATAATGGCAATATTAAAATTGTTATAGTTTTGAGATGAATATAATAGTAGTATTTGTTCGAAAGATTATCAAACTATTTAACAATAAAAGTTCAAACATCTCTGCAGACGTTGTGTTCGAACCCAAGACCTCTAAGAATAACAACAATCCCTTTAACCACTAAGGTCGTTTAGTTCGTATTAAAATTCCTATAGTTAACAACGAGAGTACGGAGTTAGAAGAATCAAGAAAAAGAAAAGAAAAAGAACTAACTTGAGGCCAGGATGAACAATGGAGGCCATGGAGAACTTGGGAGATCCAAAGCTGGCCATTGCAGGAAGAGCAACAGATGGGAGTTTCAATGCCATTTTTTTGGATTCAATTTGTTTTTTTTTTCTTATTCAAGAGTTTCCCACTGCATTTTTTTCCTTTCTAAAGACTGAACAATATATACTCCTACTTTTATCACATTACCCCTATCTTTTGTTTAAATTACTTATTGCCCTTTTGCATATTTATTTTTAGTTATTAGAATAAGAAATGTAAATAGGATATTTATGCTTACAAACAACTAAAAATATATAAATTTATTTTTTATAGAAGTAATTAATTTTATTAAAAAAATTAAAAGATCTTGAATTAATACATTTTGAAAGATAAACCAAATGATAATCATTCATAACCAACAAGATATTTTCCTATAATAAATAATATTTCAACAAAATACGATAAATATCATGTTTTAAAGTAGATGGGATATTTATTTTTATAGTCGTACCCATAAATTAAACATGATATTCTCCTATAATTATTGACACAAAAATCATGTCACTTGAGATTATGTTAAAAACCTAACTAAAAAATACGTGCAAAAGATAGAAGCGAATAGATCTGACTACATCGACAAATAAACCATAAAAGGAAATCAAACTATTGAAAGACCGTCGACAAGTCGCAAATCAGAGTCTAGCAAATTGATAAAACTATCTACGAACGCAACTCACGTATCTAAATCCAACTTGAGGGTCCAAATCAGAGAAGATTAGTAAGATAACAAATAAACATCATCTTGATCAGTCGAGACAACGTCAAATCCAATCATGAGAAAAAGATAAACCAAAAAGAACAGTCAAACGATGGATGAAGAATACCAAAAACATGTCAAAAGACATAAGAAAACAAGTCTTAAAGGCAGAAGAAAATATGACATAAATGTACAGTTATTAAAACTAAAAATTAAAGAAAAAACAAAGATATAATATAAAAATTATAATTAAAAAGAAGAATATTAATGATTGATAACAAACATTAAGATTAATGTCGTCACTCAATAAGGAAAAATAATCCATACTAAAATATATTTAAATTCAATTCAATTGGTATACTTGTGAACTACTCATTAAACTCTTCGACCAAACAACTCATTCCATTAAAAAATACATTTAAATTCAATTCAATCATTATATATACTTTGATATATACTTAAATTATGGAGCAAGCCAAATTCGTTTTTGATATATACTTCGAGCAATTCTTTCAACCAAACAAAAAGGCGATCTTATTACAACTCTTTTATAAATGGGAATAACAATGAAATTTAATGTAAATAATCTTTTAATTCTTAAGTTTTAAATCGTAAATCGTAAATCCTAAATCTAATTAATAAATATTTTTAATCACTCTAAACTTGTTAAGAATCTCAAAGAGTCTATACAAAACGTATACTTTCATTAATTAACTCACTATTACAAACTATCATATATATATATATACACACACATAATAACCAACTATATTAACTTAATTAATAAATATCTCTAATCATATATGTGCTTGTTTTGTCAAAAAGTTCATAAGAAATGATAAATGACCAAAACGATAATGCATTGGTGTGACTCAACGTTTTAAGCTAACTTACAGTATTTATTTAATTTTATGTGAAAAAGGACCCTCAAGGAGTGCTTAGATCAGTGGACAGTGAGGCATGGCCATAATATTAACACGTTATGAATTTAAGTCACACCTTTCTTCACATCGACATAGCAACTAATGTACATGAAAAAGATGTCATTGTTTTTGATAAAAATAAATAAGAACAAGTCGTTGTCCGATTAGTTGAATAATCACTTTGTAATAAAAATGTGATATAAATAAATCGGTTATTAAAAGTTACGAAATGATCTCAAGATTATTAAAGGTTAGTATAAAATTGTCATATGATTATTCACATATTCCAAACTCGTTCTTTTTTTTGTTTAAAAATAACGGTTCTCTAAGCTGGACATTAATCTATATGATATCAGAATCTCAAACGACTATACAACTCAAACAGTTCTGGGATCAGATTTATTATATCTCATTCAACATGTTAACGTCCCGCTCAGATGATCGTCAATTTTTTAACGAAAAATGATAAGTTTATATATGAATAGTCGGACTAGTTGGTGGAGAAAATAAAAAGTATGATGAGCACACGCTGGAATAATGTCCCGAAGGTGTGGGAAGATCAAAACCACTTTCCATACTCCATTTATGCTTTTGCCATCTTAAACATACTCGTAACATCCCTATCCATCTACTCCAATTTCTCTAATCCGTTGGGATTTCTCCAACAATTTCATTTTATTCGACTTCAATTCAGAAACATCTTAATCTCATTAATGGATCTCAAATATTTGTTGTCAAAAATATTTTATTATGGTATTATACTATGAAGTGGATTTTGATCCCTAGTTTTTTTAAAAAGAGAAAAAGGGTCCCTAAACATTGGAATAATAGTAAATCTGTCACTTCCATTAGTACCGTTTAAGTACGAGAGGATTGAAGAGAATTTTTGTTAATCTATTAATTTAAAAGTAAAAATGAAAAATGATTCAAGATGACGAGAGGATGAGTTTTATGTCCATTTGGTGGAGAAATTCGTGGTGGACATTCAATTTAGTTAAACGAAACGATTGAAAGACTTATAGTGTACATCTTTACATATCCTTATGGCGAACAATATACATATGAAAGATTAAGTTTTTCTCTTAATGGATCTATAACTCGAATTTTGGGTGGTCTTAGTGAGAAGAATTTGATAAATCCACTAACGTGAAATGATGAGTTTTATGCTCTTTATAACCCAAAATTTGAGTGGTACTTGTTAAGAAGACTTGGTGAATTCACTGAATGGATGGAATGAACTATTAAATGTTATTAACGAGTTTATATTTCAAGTTTTGAGTGGTCTTTGTGAGAATAACTTGATAATTTACTAAGTCTTAAAAAATGTGAGGTTAAAATTCTTAAATGCTCTTAATGATTTTATAGCCCTGATTTAGGTGGTTTATATTGAGATAAATTTGATGAAATCACATACATTAAGTGTGAAAATTAGTCATCTTCTATTAAAAATATTAAGTTGTCTTTCTAGAGCACTTACCACGTCCCGTTGTATATTGACTAAATAGATTGATCTATCTTAGAACTCAATTGGATATGAGATTAGTCGTATGTCATAAATTTACTCTTATTTTAATAAGTTCAAGATTCGTTCACTTGTTAAGAGAATAAATGCTTATTTCAATATGTATTAGTTTAAATCTAAGAAATACTAGTGTTTAAGCGGCTAATTTCGTTGTTATTCTTTTACCTAGGCTGTAAACGAACCGAACGCACACGAACGGAGGTATGTTCATGTTCGTTCATTTAATAAATAAACGAGCATAAACAAACACGAACATAAACGAACAAAATTTTTTTTGTTCATGTTCATTCATTAAGGAATATAGTTTGTTCATGTTCATTCAATTAAATGATAAACGAACGCAAACGAACGAACATAAAATAACATAATAAATGAACATAAACGAACACAATAAACGAACATAAACGAACAACACAAATACAAAAAACAAACTTATTCGAACACAGCAAATGAATGTAAAAAAAAAGTAAACAACAAAAATAACAACTTAAAATTGCAACTTTAGAGTTAATTTGTTCGAATACGACAAAAACATACATAAATCATAAATAAGCTATATGAACATAATAAAGTCTTAAAGTTAATTTGTTCAACAAAACAATCTTCTTGAAATCCAAACAACTTCAATAACCTTCGTAACATATTCAACTTGCCCTCTGTTCGAACATAAATGAACATAAATGAACGAACATATAATCGAACGTTCACGAACGTAAATGAACGAACGAGCCCTTTGTTCGTGTTCATTCATTTAATTAAACGAATGCAAAATCTTATTTATGTTCGTTCATTTAATAAATAAACGAACATAAACGAACTTCCCGCCGCACAGTTCATAAATAATTCACTGAACGTTCAATTCATTTACAGTCCTACTTTTACCGCTTTTAAAATTTCTTTACTTATTTGTATTTGTGTGAGATTGTTGGATAATAAAATTATTTTTAATTTTTTTTCTATATTAAGAAGATGTAGATGCTCGCTTTGTCCGGGGTGTCATTCGATTTTAATCGGGTTTTATTATTATTGTTTTTATTATAGTTTCGGTTATTAGCATAAGTTTGGTATTTTTGCATTTATTAATATATATAAATATATGTAAACAAAGATTATTAAGATATACTAAATCTTATTATTGTCGTTGTTACAGGGCGTACACTGGTATTACAACCAAACAGGCCAAAATAAAAATCAGATTACAACAAGCCCAACGCCAGGCCCTGCACCAATCCTGCAGCCCATTTGGAGAAACCCTAGGCCCGTTAGGGTTTCCAGCTTCTGTCCAGGTACCCAGCCGCCGCATGCCCTGGACCGTTCGATCTGCTTGTCATCAACGGTCCAGATCACATGAGCACTAGGGTTTTCGCCCTATTTCCAGCACCGCCGAAGCCAACACCGTTGGATCTGATGAGATCCAACGGCTCACATTGCGTTCAGAGACCCAAGACAGTGCATTGTTCCACTAAGCACCCATCATGCACTCATCGAGATAGTGCACGAACTCACCGAGGAATACCCACGCTTGTCGGTCGTCCACCAAGACCGAGGTTACCACTATCGTCGCCATACTCCTCGTGCTCATATCGATGCCCTGTGGACACACGAAAAGAGAGGACATAACACGATAGAGATATAACGATAGTAAACAGAAACAAAAAAAAGAGAATCGAAGAGCAACAAAGAATCCATCGATTAGGGGAGAAAACATCATCTGTCTTCAACCCATCAAAAGGAGCGGATAGAGAAAAAACGCGAAAAGAAAAGATAACCAGAGAAAATGGGATCCATCAACAGTAACGAAAAATAAATATCCAAGCCATAAACATCCATCAACGACGGAGAAGAAACGAAAACAAAACTCTCACCTTTCTCATCGTTTGGAGTCGAAACCACTACCAG